TCTCGTTATGAAATTTCTGATGTCGGTGGATATTTATTTCACAGTAATATCGGTTATATTTTCATCGAGAATATCTCAATTGAAGAAACAAAATTGAACGCATCTCTAAACTAAACAGATACACGTCAGTATTTTTTTGAAAAGATTAACGAATCGTTCGCGAAATAAATTGCCGATTGCGGCGAAGAGCCGCAAATAAGGACGATGTACGATCAGTCTTGCTGGTGAATATCATTCGTTTCTATCGAATATCCGGTGAAGTCAAATCTGTCTTAAAAGTCAAAATAAAATCCTGATTCAACATTACATCTCGGGCGGACGTTTTCGTCCGCCACTCGCGACCGTCGAATTACACAACGAAGATCACGATTCCGCGTTCCTTTTCTCTTGGTCGTTCTCGTTTGTCACGTATTGGCCGGTACCATTCGAGGGAGTATCCCGCGAGCAAAATTCGCGAAACTCAGAACTCCCCGCTGCGTATTCGCGAAGCGCGCGAGAACGAGCGACACGATGGAGTGGCTCGCGGCTTTTAATCGTAACTGCTGGCTTAACCATCCGGCGAATTCGGCCGACATATCCGACACTGAAACCGTTTCCATGTAATCCTCCAAATTCCGCGTCCCTCGTTTATTCTGCACGCACATGTCCGATTATTTCGCGCCGCGTCATTCTTGCGCGCGCTCGGCCTTCCTCCGCCTCCTCCTTCCACACATCTCGAGCGAGTCTGCCTCTTCACATCGCTTCGGATTTATCAGGGTATTTGTCATTTTTAGACACGCGTGCCATGTGCGTACAACACTCGACGCAGGACGGCTCGGGCATTTTTTTTCTTCTTTTTTTGCGAAGTCTGAGGCGCTCCAAGTTGTCACAATCGCGAGCCGCTGCTGACGGGTTTGCACAGTAGTCGCTTTTGACAGCGGTGCAGTACATGGTGTAAATATTGACTCTTTATCACTCTTATTTGACCCTCTATACTCTTATTTGACAGATAAGAGTATGATGAAAAGAAGTGTGCTGAGTGGCAAGATAGACTGTAGCCGAAAGCACTTGAAACCGCAGAAAAAATGTGATGAAGACGCTTAAGGTAAAAGTGCCAATTTCGGGACACATAATGACCCTAAAATACTGGACATTTTTTGTTATTTTGACCTTTAAACTCGACTATTTAAACTTTCAACGCGAAATACACATACACGAAATACATACAACACGTATTTTTATTGTTAAAAGTTGAAGTATCCGAATTTAAAGACCAAAGCGATAAAAATGTCCAGAGTTTAATCTCATATTATTTTGGGCTTTACATATAAATATTTCCATTTTCAACACAGAATATATATATATATATGTGTGTGTGTGTGTGTGTGTGTGTGTGTACATCCCATATTGATAGTTTAAATATTCAAGTTTAAAAATTAAACATACTTAGTTGGCCACGCATCCCGTATTATTTTAGCGTTTAAATATTTTAATTCTTAATTCGAATATTTTAATTCCTAGCGCGGAATGCACATGCATGCGTTGAATATGCGTGGAGAATATTCCATGTTGAAAGTTTAAATACCCGAGGTTTAAATATCCGAAGTTTAAAGGCCGAAACATTAAGCATGTCCACAATGAGGCACCTTACGTCTCTCTTGAATCCTTCTATGAGTAAATTTGCAACCATTCGACGCGCTCTTCACTTAATCGGCAAAGATGTGTCTAAATCGTTCCACATGCGAACGCATGCAGTCAGCTGACGAAAGCTTCCAAGACTTTTCCCCGGTGGCTTTCGTAACGCATCCCTCCGCAGTCATATCCAACGGTAGAATTTGTCTCTCAGAGATTCCCGAGGGATACACTTTCTCATTGGATACGAAGCACATCGCGCGGGTCGAAGAAAATTGTCGCAAGCTTCGATCAGAGTCGCCTACAGGGACGAACACACGGCGGACAACGCGTTATCGCGGCGTATATCGCGCTTGATAAAGGTCGGGTCGGAATTAATGGCGCTTTGAAAATGCCGCTCGCGAAAACGATCCCGCCGGGAACGAAAGAATCTTCACAAGAGAGCTAATTACGCGCGGAATTAATATACGCTGTTGAATTCTAAATGAATACCGGCTCGCGCCGGCCTTCGGATTGTATAACGAGGATCATAACAACAACGCCGCAACAGTTGGCAATTTCGGTCGTCTCTTTGCCGGATGCATTATCGAATTCTCCGGGTTATAAATAAATTTTAATTTGCGATCGCGCAAGATTCATTATTCGAATAAATTATTCGCCTGCCGAGAGCGCGTACGCGTCGAATTGTCCTTTCCGTGAATTTAACACCGTCGCATCCTACGCGGACGCGTAATTATGAAAGGAAAGAGAATGAATAAATTAAAGGTCGCGATGTAAAACGCGCAAGAGGCGTCCTCGACTCGAAATTCACAGGCTCGAAGTACATCAGCCCTAGGAATTTGGAGGACCGATTGAGAATCGGGTGACACAACGTTGTGCAAGTTATTGTCTTTTGATGCTGCGAATGGTTAATCGCTCCTGATGCGATCAAATAGAGGTCTCTGAAGCCCTAATATGGAAAAAATTATTGACTCTTATTTTGAAGCTGCACATATTTCCAAATTGTATATCAAGGGTTTATTCCCGCAGGTAAATAAATAAATAAATAAATAAGAGGCAAGAGAGTGAAGCACACATTTGTGGCATCAAGGTGCTCTCTAAATGTTGTTCAAGTGAATGTCCACTCGAATTCGAATGAGCCCTTACTCATGCAGAATGAGTTCTCCACTCGAAATTAAAGAGTGAATCTGACATCATGGGAACATGTTCCCGCCCGAGTGAAATATTCCAACAAACGAACTTCTGCGATTTCCGCTAGTAGTTTTCCTTACATTTCGAATGCAAATATTATCATTTCTCCTTCGTTTTGTCCGAGAAATTAAAAATAAAACTCCATTAGTCCTTCCAGTCGCGCAACATTCGCAAAATCTGAGCCAACTTCCGACTCGGGGTCTGCCGAGCTCGGTATCCTTCGTCAGACCCTTCGATCCCCTCGGACCCGACTTTTCCAGAAGAGAAAGCGCCGCGAACGGGCTAGTAATCTCCAAACCACCCTCGAAAAATCGGCGAAAAATTCGCCTTCGACTCGCGAGTGCTTCCCGCAGCTTCTGTCCCGCCTGCTCCCAACCTCGTGAAAAATTTCCCTCATCAAATTCTGACCCAATCTGAGCGCGGGTGTGCCCCGTCAATCGACCATCAATCGCAGGAGCAATCGTCCTCGGCATCCTCGTCGCGAAAAAGTTCCTCCCAAACGAACGACGAAGGGTCGAGTCTGAAATATTCCGCGCGGCTCGCGCGACGTCTACGAGGCGCCGCTGTTCACGTTTGCCGAGTGACACACGGCCGACAGTAACGAGCGATCGGGGGCAGAGGGGCGCGGGGGGGGGGCGCATTCTCGCGCCGCTGCTCACGGATTGCTCCGTTCGTTCGTCCGCTCGCTCGCTCGTCTGTTAGTTCGTTAGTTCGTTCGTTCAGATCCTTACATGCGAAATTCGGAATAACGATCAATGAGAGAGAGAGAGAGAGAGAGAGAGAGAGAGAGAGAGAGAGAGAGAGAGAGGGGGGGGAGGGGGAGGAGAGACGAGGCAGAGAGTGGCCGCACGCGCGAGAGGGTCGGCTTGCGCGGCGAGCCTGGCACCGTGGACGGCGGGCCGAGTGGGGGGAGGGGGCGGCGAAGGTTGGTCGCGCGGCATTCAACGGGGCTAACTCTATCCCGGCAAATTACATTTCCATCCCGCTACGTGATAGGTGCAGCAAACATGCCCGTCAACGTCCAACCGAGTTTCTCGCTGATTAGTTACACTCGACGTGGATTATATTTCCGAAGCAATTAATTAACGAAGTTCCGCCGGCTCGCGCGTGTGCTCGTCCCCTGTCCTCGGCTCCCTGCCCCCCCCCCGGCTGCCCGCTCTCCCCCTCCTCGTGGCTCTCGCACGCGCGTGCACGCGACACCGTGGACCGTCGTCGTCGTTGCCTCTCGCTGTCGGCATCGCGACTGAAAGACCGCAGGCTCGGGGGCGGGCGGGGGTGGCGAGGGGCACGAGCAAGGGTCGGCGGGGTATGTGACAGAGGTATGAAATTTCTTGCGGTGGTATGTGCGAGAGCGAGCTCGCCGCGGGCTGCTGGACTTGTCGGGGTATTACGACTCGCCCTAATGGAAACTGTCACCGAAACGTCCGCGGCAAAGCCGAGCCCGGCCTGACCAATCGCGCACTCGTCCACTTACCGCGACGGCGGATGTCGCGGAGGACGACCGAACGCGGCGGCGTGCGACGGTCCCTCCTCTTCTTCCGCTTCCGCTCGTTTCCGCGCTAAATTCGCGAATTTACGCGGCTGAAGCTCGGATGCCGCCGAGGAGAGTGAATCCCGTCCGCGACTAGGCTGGCCGAGCGGCCGACCAATCGCGCATTCGTCCACTCGCGGTCGCGGACACTGCTGGTGCAAGTACCACCGAGTAACCACCGAGAGAGAGAGAGAGAGAGAGAGAGAGAGAGAGAGAGAGAGAGAGAGAAATAGAGAGGAGGGAGGGCGCTCGTTAATAATTGTCACGCTGATCCGCGTGTACACGATTGCGCGCGGCCGGTGTTTGCTTGCGTCCACTCGCGCGCGCGCGCGCGCGCGTCGTATCGAATTCCCTCAGCGGATTACCGAGCTCGCGTCGCGAATAAATTCCTTCGGGAACTCGGAAACACGGCCGGGCCCGAGGAGAAGCTCCGTCGGTCCGCCCACGGTTCCGCGGGAAGCGACGCGCGTACAGCACAGCGACGGAGAAAGAGGCGCCGGGAGAAAAAGCGAAACATACATCGAGCGTTTTTCGGGCCGCGAGCTGGCGATTCGGAGCGCGCCCTCCGGAAGCGCGCGCGGTGGTGGTCGTTCGAACGCACGTCACCCGCGGCCGGAATTTCGCGCGGATTCTCGCCGGTCGGCCAGGTCTGGCAGTTCCTACGCACCGAATCAGCAATCCCGCCGGCGTCGCAGGAGCAGCGTCGTCCCGTCGTCCCGCGTCGTTATCCTCCGCGTGTCGCTGCACATCCGACCGCCTCAAGATCGCGCCGACAAAGCGCGACGACGGTGCGTCCGCTGCCGGTGGATCATCATCGACACCACATCGGCTCTCATCTTATCCACCCTTCTTTCTCTCTCCCCCTTTCTCTCTCTCTCTCTCTCCCCCTTTCTCTCTCTCTCTCTCTCTCTCTCTCTCTCTCTCTCTCTCTCTCTCTCTCTGTCAGCCAAAACCGTCCCAACCGAGCGCACCAGGCGGAAGTCCGCTCACGACGTCGGCGTCCCGGGAGCGGGAAAAAGGACGGGCTGTCCTTTCCCGTCGATTCTCGTCCGTTCTTCTCGAAGTTGTTTGAAGAAAGGAGGGAGAGGAGAAAAAAAAGGAAAACTCTCCAAGTGTCTTGAGGCGCAAAGCGGCTGCTCTCGGCGCGAAAGAGAAAGAGGGAGAAAGAGAGAGGGAGGGAGAGAGAGAGAGAGAGAGAGGGGGGGAGAGAGAGAGAGAGAGAGTGAGAGAGAGAGAGAGAGAGAAAGAGAGTGTGGTAGGTAGCGGAGGAAAAACGAGAACGCGATCCGGAGCGACAACAGGAAGGAGCGATGTTACACGCGCGGTTGCCAGTCGCAGACTGAAGTCGCGATCCGCGAGTAGCATCGATTTCGGTGGAGGGGGAAGGACTCGGGGGCGGGCGAAGAGGGGGCAGCGCCGTGAAGCGTAGGAGGGACGGACGGTTGGCGTGAGGGCAGGTAGGTGAATCGAAGGACGGGCGCGCGAGACGAGAGGAACAGTCGGGCTGTACGCGCGTCGCACTGCATCGCATCGCATCGCATCGCATCGCATCGCATCGCGTCGCGTCGCATCGCATCGCATCGCATCGCATCTCGTCGCGTCGTATCGCATCGCGCCAAGCGAAGCGAACCGATGCTTATATCGCCCGGCTGCTAGTAGTATAGCCGACGACTACTGCTCTTAGCATAACGGAGGGGCGAGAGTGAACCCGACGAGAGAGAGAGAGAGAGAGAGAGAGAGAGAGGGGGGGATGGCAGGAGGGAGAGAGAGAGAGACCGCAGGTATCGGGGAAAGGGTTAAGAGCCGCGCGCGTCGTAAGCGGTTCGGCCGGCGTGCGCGCGGCTGGCCAGGCGCGCACATTAACTACTGGCCGGGGACGCGCTCCGGCGAAAGCCGACGTAAGGAAACTCCGCGGACGCTTCCTTCCAGCTTCTCGCCCGCCGATTTTGCCCCGTGCGGGGCAATTGGGTTACTGCTTACTGTTTGGCAGCCGTGTTCCTTCCTCAAAGTCGGTGCGAAGCTACCGGAGGAGAGGAAAGATTGGATGGATTAAAAACGCTGATGATTGAGCGGAGTACGCTTTTGTCGAAGAAGAGAGCGAATTTCTGGCTCTTGGAGCTGAGGTGCACTCATAAGAAGTGTAAATCCTGTTTTCTTTGAGTAAAAAGCGCTCGACTCGCGCATATTGTCGCATTAATTCGATCAACTTTCTTCGCGCGTCGCGTGGCAAATTAGCGATCGTATTGAATATCAGTCTGATTGAATTATATAAATTATACTGACAAGGAATATATCCGCGAAGTGTTGTGTGTCTCCGATTTCGATGAAACTTGGCATATTTATGTAGAGTAGCCAAAAATAAGAGACCTCCATTTTTTTTATCGGCAATGGCTCAGATTTAAGGGATGAAACTGCCCCTCAAAGTTTCATCCCATTTATGTTATCTCGATAATTATCGCAGACAGGAAGAAACTTTTTAAACAAAAATTGTATGGCATGAAAAACTGTACAATTTTTGTTTAAAAAGTGTAAAAAAACATGGGTCTCTTATTTTTGGCTACTCTACAAATATGCCGAGTTTCATCGAAATCGGAGACACACATTTCGCGGATGTTCCTTGTGAGAGAAATTAAATATTTTCAATCATGTTCAGTTTTTATGTGACTAATGTAGCGTCGGTTCTTCGAGTAATCGAGAGACTGTCAACGAACAAGTCAGTGGCGGAAAGACTGCGATATTCTTAGCCGGATAAAATGCAGAGAACGCGTGTCTGCATTGCAACGGGAAAATTAGTTCCGTCTGGAACATGAAAACAAATTCTGAAGAACTGTGAAAACAAATTCGCCCGTAGAGGTGACGACGAACGAACCGAGCGTTACGGCTTGAAGGGAAGCAAATTTCTCGTTCTAACACGCCGAAAATCCGTGAAGCGGGGATGTCGAGAAGCAAAAATTCCGTTCCCTTCAACCGAGATGCGCTCAGTTCGCCGTTCATTGTCACGTTCATTCAACCGACCCTTCCTCTCCGTGCAAAGTACTGAAAAACAAATTTCCCATTGGATACGGACATGTTGCGGGACGTGCGCGAGAAGAAGTTTGGCGAACTTTTCGCGACCGGTTCTACCGTCAGAGAATACTAATAGAGCTCGATTGCGTTTTGCGCGTTAAGACTAGCCTGCCGATCCGGCGCGGATTCGAGCGCGCTCGGATATCACTCGATTATCGAGCGATTGTCGTTGAGCGACGTTCCAAACTTGCGAGATTTCACATGGGGGACACGATTTTGCGGTCCTTCATGGCCAGACTGCGCATTCTTTCTGTATCTCGTTTCGCAATAATGGCGATTATCGCATCGGTGTTCCTGCTGGCCGTGCGGATAAATTAGTTCTTTCCGGATAATGTTTCGCGCGCGATTAACTAGCGGCGATCGACCGACGCGACACGCGAATTAATTGGGCGAGACGCGCGCGCCAAAATCACTATGGTTGGTATTATTTTTCCCGCCCTCCTCCGCCTTTCCGCCCGCCCTCCGCTCACCCCGCCGCGTTTGACCGCGCGGCGGGTATTAAAAACGTAAGAATTTTTTGTACGCTTCGCAACTCGACATTAAATTTTCATGATTCTGCGCGCGATATCGCGGTCGTTTGTTTTATTATTCGCTCGCTTATTAAATTCATAAATTGTTTAATTCTGGTTTACACGCATGGATTCCGCTGCGAACCGTAGCGCAGGAAAGAAGAGCGAGAGAGAGAGGGAGGGAGAGGGGGGGAAGAGAAGGAGGAGGAAGGGGGAGGAGACAATAACAGACGAAAAAATTGATGACGCTGCAAATGTTATTTTATTCGCGCGCATTTATTTCAAAATTGCTCGAAATAAGTAATATTTCATCGAAGCTTGGTTATCAGTGTTTTCGACGAAATGTTTGTTATTGCGAAATTTGCGAAATATATTTGCACATCGCGAAATAGTTGCTGCCCATAATCGCTTTATTTCGTTTCGCTCGCGTCACTGAAAAACGCAGAAAAACCGACGGGCGAAATCAAACACGCTCACGCCCACACCTACGCGCGCAGCGACAAAAAAAAAAGAGAAACACGCACGGCGGAGAAAAAAGAAATACCGTAATCGGTTGACCCCAAACATGCGTGCGGTGCTGAATGGTCCGCTAATGCCAGGATTCGTTCGTTGTGATTGCGGATCGACGCATGGCGGTAACGATAATCGCCTATCAACGGCGAATTCAACGTCGGGCAACCGTTGACAACGGCAAACAGCGATTACGTGTGTGGCGCCGTGGATAGATTTACCGATGTTACTGCGCGATGCGCGAGAGAACGAGCACGGCCACGAGAAACGAGCAAGACCGAGACCGCGGCGAAGTGATAGTGTGCAAGAGTGAGAGAGAGAAAGAGAGAGAGAGAAAGCGTATACAAACATACAGTAATTACCGTTTAACTAGGACGCATTATAGCGCGAGTTTTTCGCTCGAGAAATCTCTGCTCGCTCTCTCGATGTGCATTTCACTTCTTTCTCCGTCCCGCAGTCTCCCACGCCTGGAAGCTCTCGATAATCCCGAAGAACGCTCTCCCCAAATCCAACAGTACGAATCTCTCTTTCCTCTCTTGCTCTCTCTTTCTCTTTATTTTTCCATCACGACACAACTGGGAAGTCGATCGGTCGCGACGCGCGATTCCTCGCGGATTCTTCCAGTCGCTCGCGCTCCGCGACTGTTATTCGATCGCGTTTCGATCTCGCGTTCCGTTCATTTTTCTTTCCGCCTTTCCCCAGCCTCTTTTTACGAGGTCGTCGATGCCAGTGTCGGGTGTGTACGTATTTATGTCAGCATGGCGCTTGATAGCCGGTTGTTATGAGGAGAAACATATATCGATGGGAACGTGGCAAGCGGATTGTCTACGCGTCGATTCCGATCGGCAACCTGCGCTAACGTCGATTTTGTGTCGACACGCGAGACGCCGCCGCGCGAGCGATATCTCGCCGGCCGAGCCTGCCCCGTTTCATTCTTTCCTCGTTGCGGCGGTTAACTCCTCGCGAACCTGCGTTGGATTCCTGCCTTGACATTGCGTGTTTTGAGATATAATTATTCATATCATATAAGAGTACCGAATACTCGGGTATTCGAAATTTTAAAACTTTCATTTTTACCAGTTTTTTTTTATCAAAGTTCTGCGTAGAACGATATTTTCTCTTAGAACGCTATATCGTTGATTAAAAAATAAAAAGATAAAAATATATACATCATTGAGGTCAAGTAAAGGAAATATAAATTAGTACTCCCTCACAATAATTCATTTATCGCCACCATCAAACTGCTTCGGTTATTGGCCTTATTGGCCGTTTTCCTCGCTGACAAAAAATGAAAGGCTTTGTCTACAGGCTTTTGAATGCGTTTTATTTCGAAGTACACCCCCTAAAAATACCGTTCTGTTGGTTAAATACCACAAACCGACGAGTTGTTGCGCGTTACATCGCGGCGAGGCGAACGAGTTTCCGCGGATCAGTCGGTCGGGAAGGAAAGTCGGAATTTTCCCTGATCGCAAAAGAATCAAAGTCGAATGCAGGCGAGAACGGGTGAAGCCGCGAGATCTCTCGCGATCGTGTTTACTCCGCAAGATCTATCCCGCCCTCGTCCCCTTCTTCCCCTCAATTACGGTTTTCCTCAAAGCTACACATCTACGCGCTCGTCCGCTCTCGCGCGCGTCACGTTACAAGCAGCGATTCGTTCTCAGACAAGCTCCACGCGAGTATTCTTAGCCGATTAATTAGATTTCACCGGGGCGATATCGCGCCCGGCGCACGTGGACATGCAAGCGCAATGTAATCGGGGGATGTGAATGAATAGGCACAAAGTAAAGTT